GCTTATGCCTGTAGTCCTAGCTACTTGGGAGGCTGAGGCAGGAGGATCCCTTAAGCCCAGGAGGTGGAGACCAACCTGGGCAACATAGCCAGGGCTCATCTCTAAAAAAAGAAATAAAACCGGCAGTTTCTTCATTCTACCTCCCGCAATGCATAGAGTTGTCAAATGCTGAGTTAAAGAGGTAGTGGGTAGGATGGAGTGGTTCTGCCTGGAAATTGGAGTCTGAACTAGGAAGTGTCTTCGTTGTCAGTACTACAGCAATATTTTTTGGTAACGGTTTTAATTTCTTGGTTTTGTCCTATAAATGTGTTCTGAGAAATATGCATGAACTATAGAGTGTCTTGAGTGTAACTGACTTTTAATACTGACAGTATATGGTGGGTGGAGTGTGAAAGTTAGCATCAGAATATCTGAATTTGACCAAGACTGCAGGACCTTGTACAGTCATTTCACCGTTCTGGACCTCAGTCTTCACATCCGTGGAAGAAAAATGGTAACGCTCCAGCCTGGGCAGCAGAGTGAGACTCTGTCTCAAAAAAAAAAAAAAAAGAGTTTACAATGGGACTGGATCCAAACAGCCTGTGTTCTTTTGGTTTTCCTTCCCTCCTTCTTTCTAGAAGCAAGCATCTGACCACTTGCTTCTCCTCTGTCATTCCTGTTTTCCACATTCCTTCCTTTGCAAATAGCCAAAAGTGAAGTCATTCCAGAACTCGTGAAAGTTTCTTCTTAAATGTCCTATAATTAAGGACATTTCAAACTTTTGCACAAATTCAGTGTTCATAAATGACTCTATTCACAATTTTTTTTTTTTTTTTTTTTTTGAAACGTTTTTTTCCTTGTATCCTGGAGTGCAGTGGCATAAGATCACGACTCACTGCAGTCTTGACCTCCTGGGCTCAAGCAGTTACCCCACCTCACCCTCTCAAGTAGCTGGGACCACAGGCGTCTAATTTTTAAAATTTTTTTGTAAAGACAGCACCTTGCCATGTTGCCCAGGCTAGGTGGGCAGATCACTTGAAGTCAGGAGACTTCATTTTTACAGGAGAAAGGGAAAATAACAGTATATGTAATAGCATATATTTGTATGCTTGTGCTTGCATAAAGAAATACTGGAAGAATGCATAAGAAGCTGGTAATGTGAGGCAGTGGCCATGGAACTGGATTGGGACAGGCATATGTGTGTTCAATGTGATCCTTATCATCTTGATTTTTGAAAAGTCAAGTATCAGTATTCAAAAACTGTTTTAAAAATAAAATTTGAGGCAGGGCATGTTGACTCATGCCTGTAATCTCAGCACTTTGGGAAGTTAAGGCAGGCAGATCACTTGAGGCCAGGAGTTTGAGACCAGCCTGGCCAACGTGATGAAACCCTGTCTCCACTAAATATACAAAAACTACCTAGGGGGGTGGGTGGCGCACCCCTGCGTCCTAGCTATTTAGGAGGCTGAGGCACAAGAATCACTTGAAGCTGGGAGGCAGAGGTTGCAGTGAGCTGAGATCACACCACTGCACTCTAGCCTGGGTAACAGGGACACTGTCTCAAAAAATATATGCTAGTAAAAATAAATAAATCTGAGGGAAAAGACAGCATCTTCAATAAATGGTACTGGAAAAACTGGAAAACCATAAACAGAAGAATGAAATTAGACCCCTATCTCTCACCACATAAAAAATCAAATCCACTTGGATCAAAGATTTAAATCTAAGACCTGAAACTATGAAACTGCTAGAAGAGACCAGGTATGGAGACTCACACCTGTAATCCCAGCACTTTGGGAGGCAGAGGCAGGCAGATCACCTGAGGCCAGGAGCTCAGGACAAGCCTGGCCAACACAGTGAAACCCCGTCTCTACAAAAACACAAAAATTACCTATGTTATAATCCTGCATGAGCTGCACATGTACCCCATAACTTAAAGTATAATATAATTTTTAAACATACAAAAATTAGCTGGGCATGATGGTGGGTGCTTATAATCCCATCTACTTGGGAGAACTGCTTGAACCTGGGAGGTGGAGGTTGCAATAAGCTGAGATGGCACCATTGCACTCCAGCTCTGGGCAACAGAGCAAGACTCCACCTCAAAATAAATAAATAAGCTACTAGAAGAAAACACTGGGGGACCAGGCATGGTGGCTCATGCCTGTAAGCCTAGCACTTTGGGAGGCCAAGGCGGGCGGATCACCTAAGGTCAGGAGTTCAAGACCAGCCTAGCCAATATGGTGAATCCCTGTCTCTACTAAAATACAACAATTAGCCAGGCATGATGGTGGGTGCCTGTAACCCCAGCTACTTGGGTGGCTGAGACGGGAGAATTGCTTGAACCCAGGAGACAGTGGTTGCAGTGAGCCAAGATCACATCACTACACTCCAGCTTGGGCGGCTGAGTGACACTCTGTCTCAAAAAAAAAAAAGAAAAGAAAAGAAAAAGAAAAAAGAGAAAACACTGGGGAAATGTTCCAGGGCATTGATCTGGGCAAAGACCTCAAAGCACAGACAACAAAAGCAAAAACAGACAAATGGGATTACATCAAACTAAAAACTGTATGCACAGAAAAAGAAACAAAGCAGGGCCGGGCACGGTGGCTTAGGCCTGTAATCCCGGCACTTTGGGAGGCTGAGGCAAGTGAATCACAAGGTCAGGAATTCAAGACAAGCCTGGCCAAGATGGTGAAACCCCATCTCTACTAAAAACACAGAAATTAGCCGGGCATGGGGCTGTGTGCCTATAATCTCAGCTACTCAGGAGGCTGAGGCAGGGAACTGCTTGAACCCAGGAGGCGGAGGTTTCAGTGAGCTGAGATTGTGTCACTGCATTCCAGCCTGGGTGACAGAGTGAGACTCTTATCTCAAAAAAAAAAAAAAAAAAAAGAAACAAGCAAAGAGACAACACACAGAATGGGAGAAAATTATTTGCAATTTACTCATTTGATGAGGGACGAATGACTAGAATTTATTAGAAACTCAACAGCAAGAAAACAATCCAATTTAAAAGTGGGCAAAAGAAGCCGGGTGCGGTGGCTCACGCTTGTAATCCCAGCACTTTGGGAGGCTGAGGTGGACGGATCACCTGAGGTCGGGAGTTTGAAACCAACCTGACCAACATGGTGAAACCCCCCCATCTCTTAAAAAAAAAGTCGGCAAAAGATCTGAATAGACATTTCTGAAAAGAAGAGATACAAATGGCCAAGAGATATGAAAAGAGGCTCAATATCACGAATCAGAGAAATGCAAATAAAGACAGTAAGTTATCATCTCACCCCAGTTAAAATGCCTTTTATCAAAAAGGGAATAACATGCCGACATGGACGTGGAGAAAGAAGGAACCTCATACACTGTTGGCAAGGATGTAAATGAGTGCAGCCCTATGGAGAACTGTATGGAATCCTCAAAAGATGAAAAGCAGAACTACCATATGTTCCAGCACTCCCACTACTGGGTATACACCAAAAAGAAAGGAAGGGCTAGGAGCAATAGCTCATGCCTATAATCCCAGCACTTTGGGAGGCTGAGGCAGGCAGATCCCTTGAGGTCAGGAGTTCAAGGCAGGCTAGCCAACATGGTAAAACCCTGTCTCTACTAAAAATACAAAAATTAGCCAGTTGTGGTGGCACACGCCTGTAGTCTCAGCTACTCGGGAGGCTGAGGCATGAGAATTGTTTGAACCCACAGGCGGAGGTTGCAGTGAGCCCTGATGGTGCCACTGCACTGCAGCCTGGGTGACAAAGCAAGGAGTCTATTAAAAAGTAAAACAAAAAAACAAAAACAGAATGGACATCAATACATCAAAGAGATATTTGCACTCCCATGCTTATTGTAGCACTGTTCACAACAGCCAAAATATGGACTCAACCGAAGTGTTCATCAACGGATGAATGGATAAAGAAAATGTAAATGTGCACAATGGGTTACTACTATTCAGCCATAAAAAATAATAAAATCCTATTTGCAACAACATTGATGGAACTGGAGGTCATGTTAAGTGAAACAAGCCAGGCAAAGACAAGTATCGGCCAGGCACGGTGGCTCACGCCTGTAATCCCAGCACTTTGGGAGGACAAGGCTGGTGGATCACCTGAGGTCAGGAGTTCGAGACCAGCCTGGCCATCATGGCGAAACCCAATCTCTACTAAAAATACAAAAACTAGCCAGGCGTACTGGCGCACGCCTGTAATCCCAGCTACTCGGGAGGCTAAGGAAGAATCTCTGGAACCCGGGAAGTGGAGGTTGCAGTGAGCCAAGATCGCGCCACTGCACAAAGAAAAACGATGCTGAAAAAAACAACGCTGACGAAAAAAACACACCCCTGAGACATCCGGGTGTGAATAAATGCCGAAGTGTCGCCCGAGATCGAGAGACCAGGCGTCGGGGGAGGCCTGGAAAAGAGTCCTAACAGGCCAGGGGCGAAACGGGAAGCCCTCCAGGAAAGAGGAGCAACGCAGAGGGAATAGACGTAAATGGAGCGCGAACAAAGGAAGCCCTCTACCAGCAACTTCTGTGCCTCGGCCGCTCCAGAGACCGGCTCCACACCCCTGGTGGCCGCAGAGGCTGTGAGGCACTGCGGGCGCCCGGGCAGACCAGACTGGGCCATTCGCGGAGGGTTCCGTCCGGGTGCCAGCCGCCTCACTCAGGCCTGTTCAACTATAAACGCCCCGGCGCCACCCCCGCCTCGGTCCGAGGTAGGCTCGGCCGGACGTGACGCAGTGTGACGCCAAGGCGCGCGAGTCTGCGCAATGCGCGGGTGAGGGAGGCTGGGCGGCGCGCGTGCGTACTGGAGCGCGTCCACCTTCAGCCTGGTGTAGGGTGAGTGGTCCCCGACGGGCCGGGGCGCCGCGTCTGCAGGAAGAGGCGCGGGGTGCAGGTCGGGGCCAGCGGGGGCGCGGCGCATGTGTGGGCCGTGGCGCTTGGCGGCGTGGGGGCGCTGGACGCTGTCCCGCGGGGTCAGCCCTGGCGCGGGGCCTGGGTCTGGGTCGCCCTCGTCTCTGGCCTCTCTCCGTCGGGTCCTGTCGCTGGCGTTGGACTTGACTGACCGCCAGCGTGGTAGCAACGCTGAAGCGTCCAGAATCTTCTGCCTAACCTCTCGCCCGGCATGGAACTGGCTAACCCTGTTTGTTGAAACCGTTTTATGAAACTCGTTTTGTTTTGCGTGGACGGTGAATCTCCAGATAACCTTAAATAGGCTAAAAAAAAAAAAAAATTCAGAACCTCGTTGAGCTGCTGTCGTTTGCAGTGAGAACTTTGTGCACAGAGAGGCAGAATGGAGTTGGGTCGACTTCACGAGGGGGATTTCCATCTTTGTCAGTCATAAAAAAATGTGTTCAGACATTTAACACCGTTGACCCCCACACACAATTTTTTAGTACAGTTATTGGAACTAAGAAAACAAAAATCCCCTCCAAAAAATTACAGCTTAATTGCGAAAGACCATATTTAAATTTTTGCCCATGAAGTTCAGTTTAATCGTTCCTCTGAACTGATACTTCAAAAAAGACTGTCTCCCTGCATTGTGTGAAATGCGAGACCCACGTACTTGTATTTTAGAAAAGCCCATTTGCAATATATTATTAAAGTTGGATTTAAGAGAACATGGTAGAAGAAAACTCTAAGCAATACTACACCTTGGACCACCCTCCCTGTGTTTTCTTCTCAAAACAATTAAAGCTTTTATGCAAATCAACCTTAACCTAAACTGCTGCTTTTATATTCAGTTGTCTATCAGAACCATTTCCCTAGGAAGTACTTAATTCTGCTTGAAAATGTTCCTAAACTTTAAATTTTGGGGTATTCCAGGGTTGCGGTGAAAGTTTTTTGAAACTTTTTTTTTTTTTTAAGCCTTTAAAACATTTAAAAATGGCTTCCAAAAGAGCTCTGGTCATCCTGGCTAAAGGAGCGGAGGAAATGGAGACCGTCATCCCTGTAGATGTCATGAGGCGAGCTGGGGTAAGTCCCACACTGATTTCTAGCTATCCCTGTTAAATATTTTTGGATTTTTAAATCATTTGGAATAAAATAATATTCAAAGTGTTTTGTGAAATATTTCAAATATACACAAAATTTCAGAGATTACATAAGAATAAATACCTGTTGATGCACTGCCCACATTTAACACTTGTTAATGTCTTGCCATATTTCCTTCAGGCCCATTTCTTTTTTGTTTTGAGCCCTGTCGTCCAGGCTGGAGTGCAGTGGCATGATCTTGGCCCATTTCAGCCTCTGCCTCCTCGGCTCAAACCATCTTCCCACCTCAGCCTCCCAAGTAGCTGGGACTACAGGTGCATGCCACCACAGCTGGCTAATTTTTGTATGTTTTCTAGAGACAGGGTTTCACCATGTTGCTCAGGCTGCTCTCCAACTCCTGAGCTCAAGTTATCCACCTGCCTCAGGCCTCCCAAAGTGTTAGGACTACATATGTGAGCCACCGCACTATCCTCAGACCCATCTCTTTCTTTTTTTTTTGACATGGTGTCTCACTCTGTTGTCCAGGCTACAGTGCAGTGGCATGATCTCTACTCATTGCAGCCTCTACCTCCCAGGTTTAAGAGATTCTCCCGCCTCTGCCGCCCGAGTAGGTGAGATTACAGGTGTCCACCACCACGCCCAGCTAATTTTTGTATTTTTAGTACAGATGGGGTTTCACCATGTTGACCAGGTTGGTCTCAAACGCCTGGCCTCAATTGACCCACCTGCCTCAGCCTTTCACAATAATGGGATTACAGGTGTGAGCCACCATGCCCGGCCCCTTAGACTCATATCTTAAAGAGCAGATGCTTCAAATAAATATATTTGAAGCCTCCTTTGTAAATTTCTTCAATCCTATGCCCCTTCCTCCTTCCTTAAAGATAAATGCTGTCCTTGCACTATTGCGTATCCATCCATGCATGTCTTTAAGGTAGCAGTTGACTGTGGTTCTCATTCTGAGTGTTTATATATTATCTCTCTATATCTAACAATAGTGAACAGTGAAGTAGAACTTAGTCTGTGCCAGGCATCATTCTAAGTGCTTATAAACCTTGCAACAACCCTATGAGTTGGATACTGCCATTCTCATTTTATGATTGAAGAAACTGAGGCACAGAGACACTAAAATACCTACGTCACATATTAAGTACAAAAGCCAGAACTCAGACCCAAGCAGTTTGGCCCCAGAGTCCGTTAACCCTGTACTCCTCTGGTTCTCACAAATGAAGATACATGTCAATTCAGTTTATTCATTTAAAATTGCTGCTTGATGTTGTACTCAATGCCGCAATCTACCCATTCCTCTAATTATAGCATTACAGTTCTGTAATAAGTGTTCTTGTGTAGGTTTCCTTGTGCAAATGTGTCAAAGTTTTTCCAGGTTATACATCTAAAAGTGGAATTACTAGGTCGAAGGACTGCCCCTAGTCAGCATGACTAGGTTTTGCCAAGTTGCTCTCCAGTGTCCCAGTTTGGAGTCCCACCAGCAGTGTAGGAAAATTCCCACTTTCCCAGTGCCAGCTCTTTAAAATTTTTTGAAAGATAAAGTAGTATTTCAGTGTTTTGACTTGCATTTCTATCTTACAAAAATACCATGAGGTTTAAATGGCAACAGTAAACTTGCAAGATAAGTCATTAATAGGATAATCATATAACTGGTCACCCAAACCAGAACATTTGTAGGAGAAAGGGTGTTCCAGTCACACAGGGTACAGGGCAGCAGCTATAAAGACAGTCTACCCCAGGCAAACCAGGGCGGACCTAGTCATTAAATATATTTAGCCAACATATTAGCTTAAATTTGGTATAGGTTTGGTGCAATATTTCCTGCCTTGTTACTTTCAAACACAGGGCAGGTGTGGTGGCTTATGTCTGTAATCCCAGCTACTTGGGAGGCTAAAGCAGGAGGATCATTTGAGCCCAGGAGCTGGAGGCTGCGGTGAGCTATGATTATGCCACTGCCCTCTAGCCCAGGTGACAGGGTGAGGCCCCATCTCTATTTTTTTTTTTTTAAAGACAGTGTTACTCTTTATGTTTCAGTGTTCTTAAATATCATGATAATATATTTCTCGTAGATAAAGGTCACCGTTGCAGGTCTGGCTGGAAAAGACCCAGTACAGTGTAGCCGTGATGTCATGATTTGTCCTGATTCCAGTCTTGAAGAAGCAAAAAAAGAGGTTTGTAATCCATACATGGAGTTATTCCTTCATACGACTTCTTTGTTTCTTGAAATGTTTTTTGACTGTATCTAAGACTATTGTTAGCACAGACTCATTTTAGAAAATTATTTTGCTTGAATGTCTTCCCCTGACAAATTAAGAGAGTGAGGACTTTGTTTTTCTATTCTGTATCCATAGAGTATGGCAATTGCTTGATACTGAATGTGCTAAGTGAGTGGCTGGGTGGATGTGTGGCCAGATGGGTGGGTTGATACTTAGCTGGATGGCTGCATTGTCTTCCCATCAGTATTCTTCTGGCTTATGCAGGCGTCCTTGCCTCCTATTGCACATTTTTACCTGATGTAAATCAACTGCCACATTTCCTGTTTGTTATTATTATTATTATTATTATTTTTTCTATTTTAGAGGCAGGGTCCTGCTCTGTCCCCTAGGCTGGAGTCCAGTGGTACAGTCAACCTCCCAGGTTCAGGCAGTCCTCCCACCTCAATCCCTCAAGTAGGTGGGACTATAGGCATGTGCCATGTCTGGCCATTATTCCCTTTTCTACTTTAGCTGTGTTCCTTTTTCAATATCTTTAGAATTATGGTTCTCACCTTTAAGGACAATGCACACTTTTGGGAGCTAGCATTCCTTTCTTCAAAACATGCTCCCCTACAGGTGCTTTTGCACACTCCGTTGTGGGCTCAGGGTGACAGGAGTGTGGGAGCAGAGTCATGGTGGGAAAGGAGGTAGAGTTGGCTCACAAATGGCTGGTTGTGCACTGCTGAGGAACCTAGAGTGTGGTTCCATGTGCTCAGCTGTCCTCAGATACATAGGAAAAAGTTTAATCCTTTCTAATAAGTTCAGATTTTTCATTACTGGATTGTAGAACATTAGACTGTTGGTATTTATATATAATTTGTTGAAATAAATTAAAAATGACAGGCCGGCTGCAGTGGCTTACCCCTGTATTCCCAGCACTTTGGGAGGCTGAGGCGGGCAGATGACCTGAGGTCAGGAGTTCGAGACCAACCTGACCAACATGGAGAAACCCTGTCTGTATCAAAAATACAAAATTAGCCGGGCATGGTGGTGGGTGCCTGTAATCCCAGCTACTTGGAAGGCTGAGGCAGGATAATCGCTTGAACCCAGGAGGCGGAGGTTGCGGTGAGCTGAGATCATGCCACTGCACTCCAGCCGGGGTAACAAGAGCAAAATTCCGTCTCAAAAAAAAAAAAAAAAGAAAGAAAAAAGAATGACAAGCAGAAGTAAATATTCCAGGCCAAGTGCAGTGGCTCACCTGTGATCCCAGCACTTGGAGGCCAAAGTGGGAGGATCACTTGGGGTCAGGAGTTTGACCAGCCTGGGCAACATTTTAAAAGCCAGGATGGTGGTGCATGCCTGTAGTTCTAGCAACTCAAGAGACTGAGGCAAGAGGATCACTTGAGCCCAGACGACTGCTTGAGTGCAGGAATTTGAGACTGCAGTGAACTATTGCACTTCAGTGTGCCATTGCACTTCAGCCTGGGTGACAGAGCGAGACCCTGTCTCAAAAATAATAATAATTTTTTTTTATCTCTGTTTGTGTTTTTGTCATGTGGTGTCTGGGTATTTTAAAACAGTGGTTACCTTTATTTTCAATCGATAGATAGTAAGTGTATATATTCATGGGATACGTGATGTTTCCATACATGTATATAATGATCAGATCAGAGTGACTAGCACATCCATCATCTCAAACGTTTATCATTTCTTTGTGTTGGAAATGTTCAGTATTCTCCTGCTACTTGAAACTATATATGATTGTTAACTATAGTCATCCTACAGGGGCACAGAACACCAAAACTTATTCCTCTTACCTAGCTATAATTTTGTATCTTTTAGCAAATCTCTCCCTATCCCCACTTTCTTCTATCCTCCCCAGCCTCTAATATCCTCTGTCCTACCTTTTACTTCTATGTGGTCAATTTTTTTTAGCTTTCACATATGAGTGAGAACATGCAGTGTTTAATTTGCTGTTTCTGGCTTCTTTCACTTAATATAATGTCCTCTAGTTCCATTCTTATAGCCACAAATGACAAGATTTCATTCCTTTTTATGGCTGAATAGTATTCCATTGTGTATAAGTGCCACATTTTCTTATGTACTCATCTGTTGTTGGAGCTAGATTTAATATCTTGGCTAGTGTGACTATTTGTTGCAGTGAACAAGGGCGTGCCGGTGTCTCTTCAGTAGGCAGATCTCCTTTCCATTGGATATATGCTCGGTAGTGGGATTGCTGGACCATACAGTGGTTCTATTTACTGTAGGTTTTTGAGGAAGTAGTTACCTTTTGCATGCTTTTATTTTTCAGTGCAGATTCTAAAAGGAGTCAAACAAATTCTATACTTTACACATTTTCTTTTGAGTTTTGAGCTTTGCTTGGTTTTCCATTAACAGTAAGATGTTTATGGTCTTAAAAGTGATTCCGAGCCAGCCACAGTGGTTTACCCCTGAAATCCCAGCACTTTGGGAGGCTGAGGTGGGAGGATTACTTGAGCCCAGGAGTTTTAAGACTAGCCTGGCAACATAGCAAGACCCTGTCTCTACAAAAATAAAAAAAATGAGCTGACTGTGGTGGTGCATGCCTGCAGTCCTAGCTACTGGGGAGGCAGAAGTAGGAGAGTTGCTTGAGCCCAGGAGTTCAAGGCTGTAGTGAGCTATATTGCACCACTGCACTCTAGCCTGGGTGACAGTGAGGCCCTGTCTCTAAAAAATGTTTGAAGTATAGGTTGCACTAAATACATAATACATTTTTATTTTGAAATTTGTTTAATGACTAGATTTTTTTAAACCTCCATCCTAAAGTACAATACAAAATTTCCATTTTGTAATTTCAGGAAGTTTGAAATTAATTAGATTTCTAGGAATTTTTTGGGGGGGGGTGATACTAAAATTCTCCCCCATTAGATTTTTTAAAGTTAAAATGTAACTTTTTAAGTAAAAGGCACAAAAAAATTTTTTTTAACTTCGTAAAGTTAAAAAAAATTGTTTTTGTGCCTTTTACTTAAAATTTGTTTTTCTATTAATTTTTTTTTTTTTTTTTTTTTTTTTTTTTTTTTTTATTTTTTTTTTTTTTTTTTTTTTTTTTTTTGCAGTGGCGCTCTGTCACCCAGGCTAGAGTGCAGTGGCACAGCTTCAGCTCACTGCAGCCTCCTCCTCCTGGGTTCAAGCGATTCTCCTGCCTCATCCCCTCCAAGTAGATGGGTCTAACAGGCATGCACCACCAGGTCTGGCTAATTTTTGTATTTTTAGTAGAGACGGAGTTTTGCCATGTTGGCCAGGCTGCTCTTGAACTCCTGAGCTCAGGTTAATCTGCCCACTTCGGCCTACCAAAGTGCTGGGATTACAGACATGAGCCACCATACCCAGCCTGTTTTTCTATTAATTTTTTTAAGTTGCTTCATTCTTGTTGAAGAATAATTCAAACAATATGGACATATACAAAGTCGAAATGTTAAGTGTCCTATTCTCATTCTCCCTCTGCCCCATCCCGCACTACTCCCATTAGCAACTAGAGTGTCTTCCTTTGTGACTACCTGTATACATAATATGTGGGGCCAGGATGCTTGTGATGATAATACACATACACACATACATCTACACACAAACATAGATCGTCGTCTTTTACAGGGGGGAGATTATACTACCCCTGCTACTCTTCAGTATGGACATCCTTTAATGTCACTGTATACAGGTTTGAAACAACATCCATCATACAGATACACCTTAATTTATTTAACTGTTCCATTGGTAGATATTTAGGCTATCTCCTATATTTCCCACATTTAAAATAGGAAGGTATTATTGGACTGTCACTTTAATGCTCAATTGAAATGAAATATCTTCGTTTTCTTTATGTTTTAAACTGTTACAGGGACCATATGACGTGGTGGTTCTACCAGGAGGTAATCTGGGTGCACAGAATTTATCTGAGGTAAAATTCTATTCAATTATAACTCAATAGCATCTGCTTGTGCTCTGTTGATTTTGTTATTATTCAGATAATTCAGGGAGGAGGCTGTGAATAAAATAGAAGCAACTAAAATTAACAAAATGGTGTTGTAGCGTTAACTCAAACTTTTTTTTTTGAGACGGAGTCTTGCTCTGTCACCCAGGCTGGAGTGTAGTGGCACAAAATCTCAGCTCACTGCAACCTCCGCCTCCTGAGTTCAAGCAGTTCTCCTGCCTCAGCCTCCACAGTAGCTGGGATTATAGGTGTGCACCACCATGCCCTACTGATTTTTGTATTTTTATTAGAGACAGGGTTTCACCATGTCGGCCAGGCTGATGTCAACTCCTGACCTTGTGATCCACCAACCTCGGCCTCCCAAAGTGCTGGAATTATAGGTGTGAGCCACCGTACCCAATCTCAAAAAAAAATTTTTAATATTTTCTGTGGAGGTCAGGCACTGTGGCTCATGCCTGTAAACCCAGTGCTTTTGGAGGCTGAGGCAGGAGGATTGCCTGAGGCCCAGAGTTTGCGACCAGCCTGAGTAATACATCGAGACCCCATCTCTCCAAAAAAAATTTCTTTTAATTAGCTGGGCATGGTGGTGCACACCTGTAGTCCCAGGTACTCGGAAGGCTGTGGTGGGAGGATGGCTTGAGCCCAGAAGTTTGAGACTGCAGTGAGCTGTGTGATGGCACCACTGCATTCTAGCCTGGGCAGCAGAGCAAGAACCTGTCTCATCCACAAAAAAAAAAAAAAAGTTGCCATGGAAGTAAGCTGAATTGGTGGAACAGTTACGAACAGATTTCAGTGAATATAGTCCAAAGTAATATTATTTCATTTTTTTCCACCAGCAAAAGAATGATCAGATTCTGTGTTTTGGGAAGGGCAAATTGTCTACTCAGCAGCCTGAACTGGGGGAGTTTGTGAGGCTAGAGCTACCAGCAGGAATGACAAATGCCATCAGCAGAGACTGCTGTTCCTCATTTTAAGTCATATGGGAGGAGTCAGAGGCCAGGGTGAGGGGCACACCAGCAGGCAGAATTGGGGCTGCTAGAAGTGGGTTGAGTCAGACGCAAGAGATTGCTTCCTGATAGAGTCTGTCTTTCTACTATCTGAAAACACCCGGAACACCACATTCCCTCCTTCTCCCTGGAGTACAAAATGGCAGGGGTCATATTGCTTTTTTTTTTTTCCTGATCTTTAAATGTGGAGGAATGTGTTTCTCTTCGAAGAAATGCCTTGCTTAGGCTTAAGAATATAGACACACTTTGATTATTTTTATACCAGTGATATAGAAATATTGTTGGAAAATAGTTCAGAGAGCTGGTGGTTTAAGCTAAAATCAAATTCTTCCAAAGTTTCCTAGTGAGTGATTGGGTAGTGGTTTAATGATAACTTGATGTACTTTTGGTTTCCTTTTCACCAGTCTGCGGCTGTGAAGGAGATACTGAAGGAACAGGAAAACCGGAAGGGCCTGATAGCCGCCATCTGTGCAGGTGATGTGCAGGGGCAGTCTGTGTTGCAATGTTGTTGGTGGGTGGGGTAGCCTTTCATTTGATGGTTTGACTCCAAATAGCTCTTCCCCTTCATAAAGCATGCAGGGCATCTGTGTTGGTGTATTTAGTTTGGGTGGCATCAAGTTGGTGTCATTTCAGAAATGAGGACAATTGTTCCGTTTTCTGCCTCTCCATGCCTTTGGTCTACATTCTGTGAAACTTAGTGTTTTCCGTGTTTGGTTGACCTCGGAGGAAAACAAGGCCCTCTGGAATTCAGTAAACAGCTTGTTACAGCAAATCCCTGTGCCAGAAAGTCTTTGTGCCAGCACACAGTCAGCAAGAATCTGTCAGACATCAACACAACAGCTCTGCCCCGTGCTTGCGCTGCAGATTCAGAAACCCCACGGGCTTTCCAGGAGCTTCTGATTCTCTCAGTACCTAGTGATCTTGGGGCACCATATTATCTGCCACATAATTTAAAATAAGGACATTTGGTGTTTCACAGATGTCCTCTCATCATTGTACCTCAGTAATATTTTATTTTTTCATAACCATTTTAAAATCCATTCTTGTTGCTTTCATATCAATGATGTTCTCCCTTCTTGATTTTTTCCCATGCTGTAATTTCTGCAGCACCTTTCTTGTTGTAGATCTTCATTAAATATTTGTCAGAAGACCAAATGAATAAACAAATGAATGAAAGGATGGTTTGGTAAACATCAACATCAAAACATGTTGCTATTTTGTTCAATACAGTAGGCTTTTTAAAAGAAGTTACAGGCTAGAGGTCCCAGGGACTTGATACATTCGATCAGTGGTTCTCAAAGTTCTTTTGGAGCGCTTGCAAGGTCAAAGTAGATACTACTGAAGGGCCAAGTGTGGTGGCTTATGCCTGTAATCGGAGCACTTTGGGAGGCCACGGCAGGAGGATCTCTTGAAAGCCAGGAATTTGAGACCAGCCTTGGCAACATAGCCAGACCCCATCTCAACAAACTAAAAAAATTAGCCAAGTACAGTGCTGCGTGCCTGTAGCCCCAGCTACTCAAGAGGCTGAGGTGGGAGGATCACTTGAGGGCAGGAGTTAGAGGCTGCAGTGAGCTATGATTGTACTCCAGCCTGGGTAACAGAGTGAGACCATGTCTTTCAAACAAAGCGTTACAGTACTTGCCTTTTTCCTTCATTCTTTCAGGAGTGACATTGAAGTAGGATGCCATCATTTGAGCATCTACTCTCATGTTTTAATAGTTTCCCAGTTTAGCTGGGCACCGTGGCTCACACCTGTAATCCCAGCACTTTGGGAGGCTGAGGCGGGTGGATCATGAGGTCAGGGATTTGAGACCAGCCCGACCAAAATGATGAAACCCCGTCTCTACTAAAAATACAAAACATTAGCTGGGCATGGTGGCGCGTGCCTGTAATCCCAGCTACTCAGGAGGCTGAGGCAGGA